CATCCTCCCTGGGGGTGATTTCTCGCTTTCTGTCTCTCTGTCTGTCTCTGTGTTTCTGGGGAACGCATGTGCCCTGTAGCAAAAACCTCTCAAAAACAAACAAACAAAAAGGGTCGAAATCTTAAAACTATTAGTAAATTATATTTGTCTTAGTCTTATACTGCAGACTCCTAAGTATTTTCCCAGCATTTATACTGCTATTTCCACCAGTCTCTAGAACAAAATAAAAATGCAGTTGTTTAAAACTCAACCCTATTACCTTCCTAATACTGAGAGAGCAGACTATAAGTCTATTGACACAGCTTCAAACTTCAGATGTCCATGAAAAGACTAATTTGCAATTTCCCCCTTTTAAAAGGAACAATACTTCTGACTCAGTACTGTTAAATAAAAGAAATATATCCTTTGAGCATAACAAACCTATAGCATTCCCATTTGTTGACATCAAGCCAGGAAAGTTTTAGTTCAGACTCAAAATCTGAAATTTTCTACAGAGTACCTGCTTTTCAGAGTCCACAAATGCTCATACTAGATTCTATGTGAAAAATAATCAGAAGCTACTGAATTCAATCTACCTACTCCTTGTATAAGTTTCTGCTGTTCATTTATTTTCTTCCAAATTTTTCATTCTTCGTGTGTTTTCTTTTTTCATTTAAATTCTCTTATGACTCCCTTCTTCAAAAGGTTGTTAGAGAAATACCTCAACTTCTCTCCCTTTCTAAAGCATCAGCCTTCATTTGCCTCCCAGTTCTGACGTTATTACATGGCTTAGAAAGAGTAAGAAAATATGTAAATCTCTTAATCAGTATCACTTAGCAAATAAATATAATTTGAAGTAAGGTTATAAATTAAAGAACATGAATACTATCTTTCTGTCTCTCTGTCTGTCTCTGTGTTTCTGGGGAACGCATGTGCCCTGTAGCAAAAACCTCTCAAAAACAAACAAAAAAAAAGGGTCGAAATCTTAAAACTATTAGTAAATTATATTTGTCTTAGTCTTATACTGCAGACTCCTAAGTATTTTCCCAGCATTTATACTGCTATTTCCACCAGTCTCTAGAACAAAATAAAAATGCAGTTGTTTAAAACTCAACCCTATTACCTTCCTAATACTGAGAGAGCAGACTATAAGTCTATTGACACAGCTTCAAACTTCAGATGTCCATGAAAAGACTAATTTGCAATTTCCCCCTTTTAAAAGGAACAATACTTCTGACTCAGTACTGTTAAATAAAAGAAATATATCCTTTGAGCATAACAAACCTATAGCATTCCCATTTGTTGACATCAAGCCAGGAAAGTTTTAGTTCAGACTCAAAATCTGAAATTTTCTACAGAGTACCTGCTTTTCAGAGTCCACAAATGCTCATACTAGATTCTATGTGAAAAATAATCAGAAGCTACTGAATTCAATCTACCTACTCCTTGTATAAGTTTCTGCTGTTCATTTATTTTCTTCCAAATTTTTCATTCTTCGTGTGTTTTCTTTTTTCATTTAAATTCTCTTATGACTCCCTTCTTCAAAAGGTTGTTAGAGAAATACCTCAACTTCTCTCCCTTTCTAAAGCATCAGCCTTCATTTGCCTCCCAGTTCTGACGTTATTACATGGCTTAGAAAGAGTAAGAAAATATGTAAATCTCTTAATCAGTATCACTTAGCAAATAAATATAATTTGAAGTAAGGTTATAAATTAAAGAACATGAATACTATCTTGCTATATACAAACAACTTCCTTATTCATCTCTTGGCAATATTTTTATAAAACATATCACCTAGATGAATTCACACATTCATAATTTTAAGTTTAGGAGATGAGGGAATAAGTCTCTAGTGTGACAAAGTGATTCATCCCAAAGTACAGAACTCAAAATGATAAAGAGATTATGCTTCTCTTCTATACTTAATAACATAAATTAAGGTCAGAAAAATAAAGATCACACAGCTTGCATTCCTAAATAGCATTACCTAAAAATGACTAATTCTCTTATCTTCTTTGAAATCTAAGGTGAATCAGAAAATATACGTTACTAAGTGTCTTTTCTCAAGGTCCCTGAAACCGTAGGAGTCCATCACCCCATAAGCACACCAACTATCATAAGAAGGAATATCTGCTTTACACATGATCTGTCCGGATCATCTGCAAAATCTGATTTAATTAGGAACTTGACATTTTAGTCACTTTAAATATAGATAACGCTTTAAAATTCTTCCTCTTCCTCCTCCTCTCCCTCAAGTTCGAACATTTTTTTTTAATTCTTTTCAAATCCATCTGACTCTAAAAATGACCATTTAAATGGACTCTCTTCTATTTAAAATGCTTTAAACAACAATCTTTTTTTTTTTTTTAGAGGTTTTTGCTATAGGGCGCATGCGCTCCCTAGAAACACAGAGAGAGACAGAGAGACAGAAAGAGAGAAATCACCTCCCAGGGGGGAGGGCCACACCGCAATCCTTTCTCCTCTGTTCTCCTCTCTCTCCTTTCGGGATCTTGGGCACGCACGCACACACGCTGGCGTGAGTTTCAAGCCACCAGGTCCGGGACATGAACCGTGGTCGACTACATGGAAGTCCAGTGACATAGTCATTACACTAACTGCTGGTCCCTTCAACAATATTAACTGATGTAAATTCATAGAAGGATTAAAGTTTACAGGCTAATAGAGAAATGCCTACATTCATTTTCATGTTTTCAATATTTTAGTATTAAATGTGTACATCTTTTATTACCTGCTTACTCAATTCATTCTTTAGAAAATATTCACAAACACACCAAAGACTAACTTCTTACAAATAAAACTTTTTCAATGCACTGTCATTGTAGTGTGGCACAGAATAAATTGACATTTCACCTTTGCAAAACAAATTGTGGTATGCTGTTTTAGTAAGAAACATAGGATTTAATGAGTCCCAATAACCAGAAGCAGATTACCTTTTATTAAACACCACAATGTACTACTCTTCAAAGGAAAAAAAATTCAATTATGATTGATTGACCTGGGAAGAGAGCTAGAGATGTTTGAGATTTGTGTGTTTAGTGTGTGTCTGCGCTTGTTTAATTCTAAAACAACCTCTCTTCAACTCCTTTCAAAAATCAGTATTCCCTTCAATAAATATGAATGTGTACTATACAATAAAATGCATAAAGATCATGCTTACTTTCAGAAGGCTATAATAATCCAAGTAGGAAAAACAAATAGTGTTAATTTTCCACATAGCAAGTCAATGTTAAACAATGTCATTTTTCTCCTTTTCTCCCTAACCACTCACAAATCAAGGGCACTGTATTTATGTATTAAAAAGATTAACAAACTGACCAGAAGCTCTGGAGCAGGAGTAAAAGAAAACCGTTTTTCATATTCACACAAACAAAAAGATAAAACAAAAGCAAATACGAAGACTTGTTAAATGAGAAGCATTTGAAAAACCCAACGTGACCAGCTTTTGATTTACCCTAGTCTGACAAGGAAGACAAACCCCACCCCCACTCCAGATTGTGTGGCTTTTTTTTCCTTGGATGGGGGTGTGGAGAAGAGACGCTGTCACATTTCCATCTTCCGTTATTGTTAGTCTGCAGCCTAGATTCCCAAGCATCACTGGTCCAGGGAGGTAGAACAGTAAAGAAGACAATTAAAACTGTCTGAAATGCACATCTTTTGTTGTTTTTTTTACACTGTTAAAGTTAATTACATCCAGGTTCAAGCAGCTAGGACTACGACTACAGATTGTCTCTGACAGCCTGTCCCTCAAACACTCCAAGACCAACTACTCCACGTTCACTAACAATCCTCTCCTCTCTAAACTTGAATCACAAAGACGCATTTCTGAAATTATTACATCCCAAACAGCATAGATATCTGCCCATCTTTGCCGTTGGTGCGGGGAGCAAGTGAAGAGTAAAAAAAGATGATTGGTTCTTCAAACAAAAAGAAATGAGGGTAGAAGACCAGTGGGGGAAAGAGCAGGAGTGGACCCGAATGGAATGTTGAGAAAAGTTTTTTCAGTGACTTCTCGTCCCTTGGCAGGGGTACAGGAGTTGGGCCGAAAGCCGCGGTGTCGGCCCAGGGCTACCGCAGAGAGGAGGCACCTGCGGAAGAGGAGGCCGGGGACCAGAGTGGAGTCGGGAGAGCACCTACCGACTTGCAGCACGTTCTCCACGGAGCCGCTGTCCAGCAGACGGATGCCCCGGCGGAACGGCAGCCCCTCGCCGCCGCAGCC